AAACTTAAATTTAAATCCGACCCTGTATATATGATTATTTATGTCGATTTGTGGTGTACATAATTCGTGATTAAACTTCTGAAGTTAGATTATTCTCATTAACGTAATACAATTTATGTCGCTAATTGAACTTCAACGTAATAATTTTGTCTGTCTCATCATATAATTTAACTAAAGAGTGAAAATGTTGTAGAGAGGAGAGATTATTTAACACTTTGGGGACGGCTGTCCACTTGAGTGGACAAACAAACTCTGTGAGGCACAGGCTATATTATAAACAATGACTCAGTTTGCATCGAAAAGTAGAATATATCACATATAGCAGTGATAAACAGTGTTATATTTTGAAAATAATTTTAAGTTATTTTAGTAGTATATTTAGCATTTTTCTTTGCTATATAGTCTTTTTCTTAATGTTTAAAACGACCGAGCGCTTTTAAATATGGCAAAACGACTGGTAAATTTTGTTAATTAAGCAGTAGTGAAGATGAGTTTCAAATAGACGTTCATACAAACAAATTTTACGAAATTACTATTCGCACCGATGATAGTGATAAGTGTGATGATGATATTATCCAACCAACATAAAGAAGTTCGATAAAATAAATGAAAAGCGGGAAGACATTAGCGAATGTGTCGATTCTCCTTCAATAATCGAGTTTGACATACATCAACAAACACCCCGACTACAAATACCAAGCAATATAAGACATCCAATAGATTATTTTACTCTATATTTTACAAATGAATTATTAGACAATATAATAGAAAAAATAAACCATTATGGCAGCAAAAAAATACCAAATATACTGTCTAATCAGTGGCATATTCTAAATGCGAGTGAAAAAAATAGGGATTGTATTGTCTGTTCCGACAGAAAAGCACCAGGAGGAAGGCGGCGAACAACATTTTATTGTAAAACATGTCAAAATCAACCAACTATGCATTTTGGAAATTGTTTTGACCGTCACCATTCTTTATAAAATGATCAAAAATAAATTAATATTATAAATGTATGTCCTTCAATGACCACAAATTTTTATCACACAAATTACATGGGCCGGCCGTGGTCCCGTGGTAAAAACGTGGGCTAGCAAATCCTAGTCCCGGGTTCGAATCCAACCTCGGTCGGTTCGGTATCAAAGCAGCTTGATACCAAATTTTCACTTGAAATCATAGATTTCAAGTGAAAATGGCCTTTCGTGGGCATAGCTGTAGTGGCAATATGCCACTTGGAAGTAAAAGTCATCACTATTACAACAATTGTAATAAAATAAAAATTCAGCACATAGAGATGGACAACTGTTTGGGTTGCCATCTATAATAATTGTAAGATAATTGATCACAACAGCTCATAGAACTTCATAGTTCTGATCGCTGTTAAAAATATATATAAAAAAAAAACAAATTACATAACATACACAATGATATCAAATTTACAGCCGGTAAAGTATATTGTTTTGAAATCGGTGTCGTCCCGAAAGTGTTAAAATTGTCACTTGCAGCTGATGATTATTTTATTAGGATGCATCCATTTGTTTTTATTTTGAAATACAAAGTGCAGTAAAAATATTGTATATTATTTGAAGAATTGCGATTGTGTATTACGAAATGTCGTTTTACTGTATGATCATATTTTTTATTACATCAACGGTACTATGAGAAATTGTATTGTTTTCTATCGCTGTTCTAGCGTGAAATATCAACCTTGAACTTGAACTATCAGATCACCGAACTAGCCATTCATCGGCGCTGGTCTTGAAAACGAATCTGTATTTCAAGATAAACCACATTCTCAGTCATTCAAATTCGGTGAATTGTTTTATTTTAATCGTTTTTATCTGAACATTACTCATCGTTCCGACGAAATCTTTAATTATAAAATATATGTTTATATTTTCATTCGAAATAAAATAAGAGGACATTGTCATCTGATATCGGTGAGAGTTTGCGAGTCTCAATGTGAGAAAAAAGTTTATAAGTTTACTTTTGAATTATTTGGTCTCTGTAATAAGACATCACTAAATTTTGAAAATACACAAAAATAATATGGTAGAATCATACATAATTGGCCAAATTTGTGGCTTTTCATATTTAGTGGTTGTGTTTATTTTGTTTTTAATCCTGTATTTCACCATATTTGTAATTTAGGAGGTAAACATGTCTGCACCTCTTGTTCGTTTTGTTTTAAGCATTTTGTATATAAACAGTGAAATGAATTAACTAATTTTTCGTGATATTTTATCGCCAGATTATCGCTTGAAACATAGCATTTTAAATTGCAATCAAAGTTAATAACTAGTGGGGTGCATGGCATCGTGCCTTAAAAAAAATTACACAAAATGTATACACATTATTAAAATCTCTATAAAATATCTGGTAATTTGATGTACATATGTTCGATAAACATTTTTGATCGCCAAATGACGTTTTTTTAACTTATTTTTATTGAGAGTCCATAACCGCTGGACCTGCCTTCCCTAAAATGTAATCAGTTTTTCATCTTGTCAATACAAGTAAATGTTTTTTGAATTATTAAAATCGGACACTCCGTTCTCTTAAAAACTGAGTTACCGTTTTTGGCACTTTTTGCCCCGTATCTTCGGAACGACTAGACCTGCCTTTGCTAAAAACTAATCAGCACGTCTCCTTTTCAATACGAATCGAATGTTTTTTTTAATTATTCAAATCGGTTGATCGGTGTTCCCGAAGTCGATGAAAATTTGTATCCGCACACACACACACATACATCAATTTTTTCTAAGGTATGCCAAAATGTTCCAAAACCGTTGAAACGTAAGCATATAAAAGTTTTCATTTTCGATTTTTTGCGATTATTATAACTTACCCTACAACAAATGGCAACACAAACAATTGTCCCATTTCTGTGTGAATTATTATTACAATTTCTGTAATAGAGCGAATATTTATTGATGCAGCAATGCCGGACCAGGGCTATTTTCGCTTGGTAACGTATTTCTATCTATATTTTCAAGTGAAAACGGTTGTCCTCGGGATCTCTGTTTTTCAGGTTCAGTCGTTATAGCCACTAACCTACGAGCCCAAAAATCGTAGCGTAATTTTATAGCTTTTTTGCAATTTTTGAAAACTGTAAGCTGTAATATCGATTGATTTATTTATTAATGCTCATGAATGCGAGAATTTATCCGATTTCTAACTTCAAAAGATTGTTATGGGGCAATAATTACATCGATTTAAATATCGTGTGCACGGTTTTAATTTATATTTGAATGACCCGATTTAAATCTGATCAGTCTTTGAAGCGTGAGCGACGTCACGTAAGCATTTTTTATTTGGTCGGTTTCAAACCGTTTTTTTTGTTTTTATGTACGAGCTGGTACGATATTTGTAAAGTATGCTTTCAGTAATAAAATCTCCTGCATTATGATAAACCTATCTCTTTAAACTGTTCTTTATCGGGTTTCCAAAAAATACTGTAATTCATTTTTTATCTGTATTTTTTTTTGGCTTCCGTTTACTCGTTATATACCTAAACATGAAATGAAGTATTTTCTCTTATTTCAGTAAAAATTTGTGTAAATACAATTAAGCACTTATCTGCTAATTATAAAGAAACGGCTCGCACCATCGTCGCAAAACTTTAATAAACACGAGATTTTACTGCGTTTTATCAATTGGCTTTTGAATGGTTGACGGACGATAGTATACACATACACATACTTCTTTTTAATTTGGTGTCAAATGATACGTCGAGAACACATGGTAGCAAATCGGAAATTCTGGCAAAAACATTTCATCCTCTTGAAGTTGAAAAAAAAAGTAAAAAATAATGCATTTTTACAATTACAATTGGAGGATTCTTACAGTTGCATTAGATTCAAATCAGTAAACTACCTACCGAGTTGATGTTTATGGATTAGTTAATCATTCTGAAGGCGATTAAATATTTAAATTTGAAACCAGTTTTCACTTTACACGGCCGCGTGATAATCTAATAATACTAGTATGTATGTAATACGAGTTTTATTCATTTCATTTTATAAATTATAGTTCAATAAGTCATTATGTTCTATAATAAGAATTTTACTACTTTCCTGACTGTTATAATACTATTATATATAATTCGAAACCGGTCTTAAAAGAAATTTGAAACGATAAAAATAAGCCGGCAGGTTTATATTTATTTACATATGATTTATTGCATACCATTGTTGTATATCAATTTCTACGTTATAGTTATCAATATTAATTACGCTTAATTAGAAATGATTCATTTCATATTTGTTTATTAAAATGAAATATTTTAATAGTTTTACCAATATTCCACATGATAATTTTTGAAAAACATAAATCTATGTATCTGAGGATGTCTCACAAAATAAAAATAATTATTCAAAATAATAAACTTGATTTTGTATTTATAAATCCAATTTATTGCTTGGTATTTATGCTATGTGACATTGTTGTTCAATGTCACTGCCTAGTGCAAATCTATGCTTTACTTAGTTGTTAAGGCGCAGTTTGTGGTTTGAAAAGGAATTTTATCAACGCTTGCAAAGCGAGCTTACAATGTAATAGCTACGAGTAACATCAACTGCGTTGTTTGTATTCCGACCGTCATATTTATAATATTTATAGTTATTACGAATGGGTGCATATCCATTACAAAGTATACTCGTTGTATATGTAGATAATTTTCAAATATTTGATGGGTCGTTGCAATTTTATTTTGAAGTAATTGGCAAAATTCAATTTAAACTAATATTTTTCGAAACCCGGGCTAAAATCCAAGACATAAGATTTAATTCCGGGATAAGTATAGCTTTTAAAAAAACCCAGGACACAAGGTATATATCCGGGACTGTCCCGGCCAAACCGGAACTTATGGCCACCTTATTGTTAGTACAAGGAAATTCGAAATTATATAATTCCTGATGTGATAGTTAATATTTTTGTATAAAATATTATGTTAATTAAAGTTGGGCCTGAATAAATTTGGAAAAAATCTGTTGTTTCAGTATTATGGAGTGGGAGGGTCCTCCCGCACAAGGCTTGTATGATCCGGCCAATGAACATGAGGCTTGCGGCGTAGGATTCATCGTTGCTATTGACGGACGACGTAACCATAAGGTAATGTGCCTAACAATAACTCATTTGTTAGAAATTATCTAAGAAATGCAATAAAATTAGACTAAGTAATTTTGTTTAAATTTAACGTGATTTTGAAAGAGATTATTTTTCTCGCGTGAGTAACCGAACTTTAATTTCTTTTCTACGCATTTCAGATTATTCGATTTTTTTGTGCGTACATACATGAACAATAAAATTTGATCATAAACCCAAATTAAACCTTTATTTCTGTTCGGTTTATTGCGCACGATCGTGATTTACTATGATACTAATTTATTTGAGCGATGCAAGATTGTCTTTTATTCGCAATTACTATTTTAAAAATTGCAAGAACATTTGATACATTTCAATCATTGTTTGCATTTATTAGTCTTAAGATCTGTCGACCTGTTCGCACGTAATTACCTATTCGTATGTTACTTAAAATGAATTGAACCAATTATGAGAATTAAATGTTAGATCCACTGACAAAGTAATCGATTGCATTTATTCAGTACGGATTACATTTCAATTTTTTTTTATCAAATCACAACTGTCAGTATTCAGTAATTATTATGACTAAAGTAATTAATAATATTTTGAAATACTATCCATCGGTAGTATTTTAAGTTGGTAAAATATATACAGAAAATAAATATAAATCATAAATATATAGTTTAAATGTATAAATTAATTGTAAACTATCTATGCTACGTTCGGCCAGTTGTTAGCTGGCAAGGTAACGCATTTCAAAAATTAAAAATTGTTCTAAATTTTTATTTTTGTTTTCATTTCATTCTTATAACGTGGAACATTTATTCCTATAATCTGTAGGATAAGATACAAATCACAAATTATTTTTACTTCTTATATATGTTTTTCTCATAAGATATTTCAGCTAAGAGCTGTATCACCTTTTCATCATTTAGAATACGAAATTTTAGAGATTATAAATACATCAGATATTTTGTTGTAAAATTGAAGCGTTGCATGTGTCATAAATGTATTTTTCAATATATTTGTTCTTCATATAATATAATAAATTACCTTATAAAGCATTTCTCTTGAACGTCCTTCTACATAAGAAATACTATATATTGATAATAACAATAAGTTAATATTATGACATTATCAGGTAAAAGAAAAACAATTGCATTACAACGCATTAGTATGTCAAACACATTATGCGCCACGACGTTTAAAGATTGATTGCTCTGTAAAAAAAACTTTAAGTTTTATCATTATATATATTGCATATCCAGAAAGATTGATGATAATGTCAAACATTTATTTATGTTAATATTATATTATATTACGTTCTTCTTTAATGATCATTTTAAAAATTTTCTAAAAATTATATTATAATTAATATTATCATAACATATTCAGTAATATACATTAGTTACTCATGTAGATCTTGTTCATTGCGTAATATTGAAATAAGCTTTCAGATAATCGAGTAAAAATGTGAATGCTTTGCTTCGACACATTTATTACCAGTTAAATCTCGCATTTGGTTTTGATTAAAAACTTGGCATTACTGCAATCACATATAATATAAATATGGGAATAATACAATAAAGAAAATTTATCTAAAGAATACAGTAATTTGTTTTTTTTCCTAGAGCATTGATATTTATATTCTTGTTCTCTTTTTCTTACTTATGTTTGCTGTTTAAAGTCAGAGATCAATAAGACACCTTGCTTTAAGAAAATCCTTGAGTATATTAAATAATATTTCTATCTACATGTCTCACTCTCATGCTGGAAAATCGTAGGGTCTGAATTCATTCTTGGAAAATGAATTAATATTATTTATTTCTTGTTTTTTTTTCAGATTTTGTTCAGAATATGCATTTTCTTATTCGAATGTCTTGCATTTTTTGATCAAATTATTTTTTACCGTAAAGTTATGTTAATTTAAACAAGCCGATTTAAATAGCTACAATAAGGGGAATGTTTATTCGTATCGTGAGTTCAAAACGGAGTGGAAGAATCTAAATAATTTAAATAAATGTCTCTTTATTTATCAATTAAAAGTTGATGATGTATAATCTTTTTTACCGCGTAGTATATCAACGAGCCAATTCACGACGATAAAATAGCCATAGATAAATAAGTGTAATTAAAATTAAAATCTCGGATAATTTTAATTCTCGGATAGCTATATTATGTTACCGGTCTCTTATATTGAGTAGTCGCATGAGATGGTAGTTGCGAAACTGTCGAAAGGCTATGTATATGGTGTTTATTCGAGCGTTTTTCATAATCTCAACTGCTAAAACCTAACCTCCAAATGGCACCAATTTTAACATAAAAGACCGATAACATAATATAGCTATTTTATCCGAGATTCGGCACATAAATAACGTAGAGATTGACAAATTTTTCAGATTTTACGAGATGCCGAGACACTTTCGTCTCGTATGAACCATCGTGGTGCCTGTGCTTGTGATGATGATACTGGCGATGGTGCAGGAGTGTTGACCGCCATTCCGCATGTCCTTTATGAGAAGGAATTAAGGTAGACATTTTGTAGCATAAAATAAAATGAAAATTCAATTTTTTTTATATTTGAATTTATTGAATACGAAGTAAATTTGAAGAAAGGCTTTCTGCGGATACGTTTCAAATTTTACTTTTAATATAATTTTTGTTGAGTTATTATTTCATTCACTCTTTTATGCCATCTTTCCATACATTTATTCGTGACGATTCTCTTTTGAATTATCTTTATTTGTTGAATATAAAAAATATTTAATTTATAACTATTAATTCAATATGTTATTTTTCTGTAGAAAATCGTAAGTTTTATAAACAAACTCGCAGTTTTTGAAAACCAGCTTTTTGACGAAAATGATGAAATTCGAAAACCGTTTTTTTAGCGGAAAATCGGTTTTTATTGTATAAATGGAAAATGACAAATACTATACTAGATGGAAGCAAGCGTTTCGATACTTGGAATTTGGAAAAATATCGGTTCGATAAAATTTGGAATCATATCAGTCTGCTATAGTTTCCCAGAAAGGTTCTGCGTAATCTTTTGTCTAATGTATATATTATTATATTAGATTATTATATCAATGTTTATATTAATTTAGATCAATGCGACTTCTTGTTGAAGGAGTGAATTGCTCTACTCAAAAAAAGTTTTTAACCCTAGAAGCCATAAATAAAAGAACAAAATTTTCAGAATTATTATATCACACTTTAACGATTAAGCCTAGTTCGGTTGCAAGTGAGTATTTTCTATTTCGAAAAATTTTGTGAATAAACTTCTAAATAGCAAATCGATAGACGTCTTCAGCTTTTAGCAATCATATTTCATTAAATTAAAAAATAAATACTTGACATTAATTAATTAAAATTGTTCGGAATAGAACAAACTCGGGGTTTTGTTAAATTGTTAAAATTGACATTAACAAGTATGTATCTAATATTATTTATTTAATTAATAGTTAAAAGTTTTTTATTTAAAAATGTATCATTTTTATTTATTCGAACTCTTTTCTTTCACTATCATAAAATATTTATTCTCATATATGAAAATGATGCATGAATAACGAATAATCATTTTCAAAGTTATTTAATCCAGATCAACTAATATTTCTTTGTTCTACTAATTAAAAGTAAAATAAATTAGTTTTCTACTCTCTCTTAGAATTGAATAATGATTAAATTTAGCCAAAAACTGCTTTAAATCACAATAAATTTGCCGATATTTTTTTTGTTATTACAGAATATTCGAGCAAAAATTGATTTTTTATATAAAATTCGAAAACCGGCTAAACCGTTTTTTTGGGAAACTCACAATTGGAAAACCGGTTTTCTGAAATATCGGTTTTTGTATAAACCCTAATATCGACCTTCTAATTACAGTTTATTATTTTTTTCTGATTATTACTAATTTCTAATGTTTTCTTGCAATTCCTTTGTTAGTACGAGTTTATACTCGTGAGGTTTACACCGATAACAAATTACATTCGGTTCGATCTAAAAATTTACTTATTGTTAGTTTATGCACCCTTACGGATTCGAAGGTTCGTACACGAAACGTTCAAAGCATTATAAATTTTTTTTAGAGAAATTTAGTTACCATTTTTCACTTGTAAGAATTTTTGATCCAAACTTACGTTTCTTAAAAAGGTTAAATTAATATATTGATGTCACTTATTATAATTGATAATAATATATCACTGACAAATATTTTTTTCACACATACTTTGATATTTCTAATACTTTGGGTTGGAATTTCCCGTGAATTCATTTGGAATTTCATTCCAATTGACTACCTTCGTAAGTAGAATGAAAATAGTAAAAACTGCATTCTTAACACTTGCTACATTTCTTTCGTTGCTTACGTCAATTTAGCCTACGGTCGTCGACTTTTCGACATGAAATGAACAATCGATTTACTGCTTGTGATGGAATAATTCCGTTATCGTCTGACAAACAAATTGTAGATATCATTTCGCAATATATTTTCGTCGATGTAAATACGTCATCGATGTTCCAATGCGTGGAGTTTCTATCTATATCAGTCATTTCCGTGTCAAGGTTCAAAACAGATTAATAACAGCTGTCGATCACTGGCGTCTCAATGTTCTATTGTTTTTGTTCTAATTATACTTTGGCTTATCAGTCAATGATATAATTCATGGGTCTGTGATAAAAAATGATACTCCAATCAAGTTGTAATTTTATTTTGTACACTAATAATAAAGTTTTATTGTTTTCCTATTTATAAAATTTTTCTATGAAATTAAAGTTTGAAAATGATGTACCTATTTATAGGTATTTTATATTATTGCATTAAAAGGTCCAATTATTATAGATTAAATAATTATTATTATAATTTTATTATAATTATTACTAAAATTATTTGGTTATGTTTCACACAAAACTATAATTAGCTTTGTGTGAACAAACTAATTATAGCAGCAGTTGTTATTTATATACTCGTAATACTCACAATGGATTCTAGATATTACAGTTACTGTTATCTCTCGTTCCAGTTTGCCTTTCAATGTGATTATATTTATCAATAAATTAACTCTGTAATCATATTTTGATTTCTAAAATATAAAATTCAAGCCATAAATAACAAACTTCCCGAAGAAGCATGTTTTTTTGTCGGAAAATCCGATTTGCTAATTTTGTTTTCTCGTTTTCAGTCATTTTGAATCTGATATCAAAATTTGATAAAGTATATGTGTATATTTTGTTTGATGAATCTTGATAGAGAGTCGCGTTGGTTTAATTTTTGTTACGCGACTATTGGGCGCGTCTTTTCTTTATCTCAAAAACGGATGAACCGATTTCAAAAATTTAAAGGCCATTGATAAGTCTTTTTAAAGACTCGGGTTGATTTCCTGTTTTGTGAGACGATTGACCGGGTCGTTTCTTCATTATTGATGTCCACTTATAAATAAAATACATTTTTAGAATACGGAGTAGAATGAAATTTGTTACATGAATTAAATTCAAATAATAGAGACGTGAAGTTTGAAATTGAAATGTCAATGCAAATCGGAAATCACACTGATTAGTTTTTAGTGAAAGCGATTTTTTTTGAGATACAAAATTCCTAAATAGCACAATCTAATTTCTTATTCATCATGTCAATTCTCAAAAATCATGAAAATTCCAGGCTGTGAATTGAACTATGAATCACATGCAAGAAAATCGTGAACTGTTTGAAATGTAAGAATCACCAAATTATTAACTAAAATTTAGAACCGAATGGAGAATTTAATTTTTTAAAAGATTTATATATGTATCTGTTAAAACGAGTAAATGCATAATCAGAATGTGCGAAATATAAAAATTATTTTGGTTTGGATAAAAATACTTCAAATGGCTGTGTAAATTTTATTTATTAAACAATATATATTACAATCTTAGTTACATTAATAATTTTATATTCGCTTTGTTTTAGCAAGAGCCAGGTATTTTTACCAGAATTCGGTCGTTATGCTACCGGAATAATTTACGTCGACATAGATAATCATGAGAAGTGTGAAGAGAAGTTTGAAAAATTGGCCCAAGAGTTAGGGCTCAAGGTCTTTCATTGGAGAACAGTTCCGGTAGATTCCAGTGCAATTGGTATTGCTTCATTTCAATAAATTCGATTTTTTACATTATTTTTGTCGAAGTTTTGTATTCAAATTCAAGTACCGATACATTTTATTCATATTAATTTATTTAATTAAAATAACTTCTAGTATATTTTTTATTACAATTTGAATATTTTAATTGGATTCACATATATTACAATATTTGGGCATCTGTTATTCACTGATTATTCTTTAGGTCAAGTTGCACGAAAATCCGAGCCTTTTATGCGGCAAGTATTTGTCACTGGTGATCAAAATGAAGAAGATCTAAAGCGGCAGGTATGTTTTTTCTCGTAATAAAGTTCTTTTTCAATAAACACCCAACACCTATGATACCAATTATTATTTTTCAGGTCTTCGTGTTGCGCAAGAGAGCCACTCACGAAATACCGTCTGCAGGAGTTAGATTTTATATTTGTAGTTTATCGTTATTCACAGTCGTTTATAAAGGACTATTCACTTCAGATCAGCTATGGAAATATTTTGATGATCTATCAAATGAAGCGTTTGATACTTATATGGCTTTAGTTCATACTAGATTTTCGACAAATACTTTTCCGTCTTGGGAAAGAGCACATCCATTAAGGTAATTTATTTTTACCAAAACCAATTACTGGTCTATTTATTTTTTTCTCACAATTTTATTTCATGTAACTATTTCACATATTTTGAGTTTTGATCAGCTTTAGTGCTTAAAATATTTTAATACAGGATTTGCAATAATTTGTTTGGTAAATAAAATCAGTTTCTGTTCCAATATTTTTTTGTCACATACATACATATGTATTTCAATAATTAATGTGTTTAACGGTATTCAGGAGAAGTTACTTGCGTTCATTGTGAACGCAGTTAACGGTTATATAATGTCATGCAATATGCATATCGTCTGAAAGACGCTCATTTGAAGCATGAAGCTATTTCTGGCATTTAAAAAGAACAAATTATTAGACTCATGATGTGTACCGTAGAAACATTGTATCCAGGGTCGGATTTTGAAATTTGGCGCCCTGGGGTACTGATGAAAATGCCGCCCCACTTTTGTCTCATTTTTCTAAAATTAAAATATATATTTTATTGCAGAAAATTTATCACGCATTGCATACATGTTCCATGTATAGATATATTATGATCCTTTCAAAATGATACTAATGGAAATTAGAATATTTATGTAATATCGTCAATATTGTACTAATATATTATATAGCTTATGTCGCTACTTTTTTCGGACGACATACGACTTACATTTGAATATTTTTATCTGGAACTACTTGATCTAAAACGATTTTGGTTTTATTTTGGTTATAGGGTACTGGCTCACAATGGGGAAATTAACACTTTGCGGGGAAACGTAAACTTTATGAAGGCCCGCGAAGGTGTCATGAAAAGCGAAGTTTTTGGTGAAGATTTGAAAAAACTTTATCCAGTTGTAGAACCAAATCTTTCAGATTCTGGATCTGCAGATTGCGTTTTAGAGTTCTTGGTTATGGCTGGTAACCGTTCTCTGCCAGAGGTAAGAGAAACAATTCATCTCAAATAGTATATAAGTTTACATATGAATAAATAAGTAATTTTTTATTATCAACTGGATTTTTGTTAGATCGTTATTTTTTACTGTGTTTCAAATTGGAAAGTTTGCTAAATGTGAAGGGTTAGAAACTTTATGAAGAAAACGAACATAAGTAAAAAAATACTTTCTAACTTCTTAATTATAAGTTAGATAAAATGATGATTATTTATCCCGAAACAGAGCTGCATATGCTGAAAAAAGATACTGATGCTCTAGAATTACATAGTTTAATCATTTACATAATGAATATAATTTTAATCATTGTTTGACTTATTTTTAGGCCGTCATGACAATGGTGCCGGAAGCATGGCAAAACGATAAAACGATGCCTCAAGAAAAACGCGACTACTACCATTGGGCAGCGTGCGTTATGGAGCCTTGGGATGGACCTGCGCTTATTTCATTTACTGATGGTCGATATATTGGTGAGTGTGAATTGTAAATATTTTTAGATTTGTAACATAATGATCTTCAAGTTGTTGGAACATGTTTTGATAAATTATTTTATATTGTGATGACTTTATCCCGAAACTAGAAATCTTTCAGTGTAGAAGAACTAGTAACTGATAACATTTATGTGATAATTTTACCAAAATTATTTCCGTACGATCAATTTTGAATATATATATTATCCATAGGTGCTGTTCTCGATCGTAACGGTTTGAGACCATCAAGATTTTATGTGACTAAAGATAATATACTGGTAATGGCTTCTGAAGTTGGCGTCTACGATACCGAACCCGAAAATATAATTTTGAAAGTACGTTATGTAAACGAGTCTTGAGATATAGAAACTAAAATCAATGAAATCATATTGCCTTTTTGTTTTAGAGCCGCTTAAAACCAGGAAGAATGTTACTGGTTGATACACTTGAAAAGAGCCTGATTCAGGATGTCGAATTGAAATCTAAAATAGCTCGAAGCAGGCCGCATTCCCAATGGTTGCAAGAACAGGTAAATAAATTAACTATTATATACGTTATATATATATATATACATTATATATTTTTTTGTATTTCAAGACAATTGTTTAATTGAATTATTTGTATTAACGTATTTAATACCTCAAATTAATCTCAAAGTGCATTTATGACTTAGAAGAACTGACGCATGCGCTGAGCAAGTTTTAGTATTAATTTTATATTACTGATTCTTAAATTTACATTATTTTATATTTTTGCCATTTTATGTTGATTATGAAGTGAATTTTATAATTAACCGATTACTTTGTTATATATATGCAAATTAATATACTTAAAATAGGGTTGTTTGCTCTACGATGATATTATTGAATACTTCACTAACGTTTTTTTTTTATATTTCATATTGCATTCCCGAAAATAGATGGTAAGTGATCTTGTAGTACAATTTAGGTATTGCCGATATATGTGGCCGCCTTTCTTCGTTTTTTCTTTGTGTGTTGTTAACTGTTTATTTATATAATATGGTTATTTTCTGTAATATAGGATAAACATCTTTTCAAGTGTTTCATTTTTCGATTTTACTATTTTCTATTCAATTGTTACATTCATAATAGTTGAATATAAAAAGAGTTAATTCTGTATAATAACATTTAGAAATCAGTTATTTGTTTTGGTCTTTTACTGAGTTTCAGTGGCATAAGGGGAGTCCGTTTTAAATTGGTATTTGTATAATATTACTTTGTTCTTAAATTTATTAAAAGTGGTCTTATTATTGTGTCGTTAATTTAATTCGAATTCTGTGCACCAACACTAAAACTTAATTTAATTTTAAACTTAACTTAAATTAATTTCAGTTTTTCTGACTAACTTGATGCTACTAATAAATAAATGTTTTCCTTATCCTTGCAACTTTTTTTTAATAAAGTAGATAAATATTTTCAATCTACATAAATCTGTTTTAAATATGCCTTTGTCAAATTGATGAATGTTGCCGCTTTTATGTCGTTTAGTCATTAGACGTTTTCTTGAATTTTAAAACTAGTTTTTTTATAAGTTTATTAACGTTTTTTTTAACAATTTTTTTAAAATCTGTGTTTCTTCTTAATTTGCTTTCTCCTTATATCGAATGTATTTACTCCAACTTTTTATCTTAAGTGAAATAAAATTATAAAATATGCATGATCTATTAAATCAACTGTTTTTTTTTTAATATAAATGAATTATTTCTTTATTATGAAAAACGATACTACTGGGGAAATGCATCTGATATCATATTAGGCTGATGTTCGACCAAATAATAATGAAACTGGCGGAAAATTGAATAATTCACACACGGACTTATCAACAACCAATTATTGTGAACGAAATATCAGTTGACTGTTTCATAAAATGTCTGTGAAACGAAAATTGTTTTTTTAATATTACGAACAGAGAAATACTTTCTCTGAGTTCTCGTTGATTAGAATTTCATTATTTTTTAATCCTGCATCAGACTAATATTCTCTCAATAGAAATGTCTTTGTTCTTCATTAAATTCGATTCTTTAGTTGTTACCCTATTTGCTTATTTGATTAGTAAAATGAAAGAAAGCTGATTTTAAACCGATGTTTTTGGCATTTGTCCTTTAGATATCTTTAGAAGACATACGTAAAGCAGATTTATTATCCAGGAATGGTAATATTAATGGAACTATTAGCAATGGAATATCTAATGGAGATGCAAAACATGGATTTGCAGATAAACGATTGTCAATGTTTGGATATACAACAGAAACAATAAATATGCTGTTGTTACCTATGATCAAAAATAAGTAAGTCATTTAATCTCTCGATCTTCTTGAGTTAACGTCATCCCTTGGGCTTCATAAAGTATGTACTTCAATACTCATATCATTTGATTAAAGAAGGTTTGTTCCTTTCGAAGTCATTTTGCGGGAAGTGTTCATTTTAAGACTTATTCATAATAATTAACATCCTTTCTTTTTAATGTTTGACTTTCATATAAATAGCTTGACTGCTTTATGTTTTGAAAATATTTGTTATGTTAAATTGTTTAATTAACTTCTCGATACTTAACTAAATCAGTCTCGTCATGTAATCATTGCTGGACTCGTTCATTTGTACATGTGTTTACAAATTCTTTGTTACATTATTCTTTATTACTCCTAACAAAGATTTTTGCCATTTTTACAAAATCATTTACTTTAGAGTTTTTCATATGCACTTTTTTCTAGAAACGAACAAACCTTGTCTTGATTCTTATATCTATTTGTATCGCCCGAGCTTAAATGCTTATCGTGTTGCTTGTCTATGACTTTTGATTATAGATTCACAAACCGATGATGATTATATTGCGAAGCTTATTCGTGCAGATGAAAGTATAACCAGACGGTAACAACATTTAAGTTATAAAAGATTTTTAATGAATTAATAAACTTTTTATGATATTACTATTTTGACTTTCAGGAAAGAAGCTCTCGGCAGCATGGGTAATGACGCGCCTTTAGCCTGTCTCTCACGGTTCCAGCCTTTGCCCTATGATTACTTCAAGCAATTGTTTGCTCAAGTCACCAATCCACCAATAGATCCGTTCAGGTAAGATTCATTAAAAATATTAAACCTTTTCTAATTGAGCGGAAATCTTGTTTAGGTTCAATAATGAAAAGAACATAAAAATTGATATTTTATTAAACTATTTTAGGGAGAAAATAGTTATGTCACTGATGTGTCCAATTGGACCCGAAGCAAATATTTTGAATCCTAGTGCTAAACAAGTTCACAGGCTTTTGTTGCCTCATCCAATTCTAAGTGTCTCCGACTTGACAATCTTGAAGCGCACTCAGTATCGTGGGTGGAAGGTATAAAATTTTATAATTAACTTTATTGTAGTTTTGATCATACACCTCCATACATCAAGATTTATTTCTACTTTCAAACATTCAATAAAATACTTGTTTTTCAGAAATAAATACAATGTGTAAGTATTGATCTGAATTTCTTTTTAATAACATATAATTTCTGCTTTGAAGCTTATTTTTCTATTATGTTATTGTAATTTTTTCTTTGAATTTTTTGTCTCAAACAGACAAAGGTGTTAGATATCACTCATGACGTAGCACTGGGGCCAAAAGGATTATTACAGGCTTTATCACAAGTTTGTTTGGATGGACAAAATGCTGCGGAGCAAGGTTATCAACTGATAGTACTATCTGATCGCATGGCAGGTCCAAAAAGAGTTCCTGTAAGTTCACTACTAGCTTTAGGAGTATTGCATCATCACTTAATTGAGTCAAGGCATAGAATGAAAGTGGGACTGATAGTCGAAACGGCAGAGGCCAGAGAGGTTCATCATATTTGTGTTTTATTAGGTAATATCCTATATTTAGTACTTTTTATATAGTTATGCCAGTCAGATTATCAATCATTTTGCAAACCGTATTGCAGGATATGGAGCAGATGCAATTTGCCCATATTTAGTTTTTGAATTGGCATCTGATCTTCGCCAAGAAGGTGTGTTGGATGCTGAGCTAACTGATCATATTATATACAATGCTTATTCCAACGCTATTGAAACTGGGATAGCAAAGGTACATTATGGTTTTCATGTAATTTTTTCTTTTAATCATTTTATTTCAAAAAAGTTTTTATATCCCTGTTAGATTACTAAGTCCTATTTGAAACATACTGATGACCACACTAAATATTCATTATAGATGGGATTCGGATACAACCTCTTGCCATATTTAGATAAACAGTATGTCAACTAGTGGGGCGCATGGCATCGTGCCTTAAGGCAAATTGCTGGAACTTCCCGTACCAAAAATGATTATTTTTTTAAAAAGATTAACATTGTTGAAAAAATTTGAACAAATTCGATTTTTGAGAAACTATAAATTTGACAAAAAATTACTTTCTTTTGAAATTACTTTTTTCTTCATTTTGACATATTTTGGAAATTCTGAACTTTTTTTCAAAGCAATCGTACTGCTTTAACTGCATAGAGACGAAATGTCAAAGCGCGTAAGCGCCGCGTCGCTTTCTAACGGATAAACATTGGTACGGAACCTATAGGAATGTAAACAAAATTCATACTTATTATTAAAATTTCTGTAAAATATCTGATAATTTGATGTGTATATGTCTAATAATCATTTTTGACCGCCAAATGGCATTTCTTTTATTTTTTCACTAGATCTCGGAAACCGCTAGACCTGCCTTCATGAAAATTTGATCAATTCTTCATCTTGTCAATACAAGTAAAATGTTTTTTGAATTATTAAAATCGGACGCTCCGTTCTCTTAAAAACCGAGCTACCATTTTTGGCACTTTTTGCCCCGTATCATCGCAATGGCTAGACCTGCTTTCGCCAAAAACTAATCACCACATCTTCTTATCAATACGAATCGAATGTTTTTTGAATTATTCAAATCGCTTCATCTCTGTTCCCGAAATCGTCGACGAAAATTTGTATCGGCACACACATACATAAACGCACACACACACACATACATCCATTTTTTCTAAGGTATGCCAAAATGTTCAAAAGGCTTTGAAACGTAAAGATATATAAAAATTTTCATTTTCGATTTTTTGCGATTACTATAACTTGCCCTACGGGAAGTTAATAAAACCCTTATGATTAAAAGAAACTAATTAAGACATCTTCTTGCGGCACCTATTTTTTTTTTTTAAATAAATTTTGGCATTAACTTTTCAAATATTTTTTTTTTTACATAATGTTTCAATATCAATTAATATTTAAATTCACTCTGTCTTGATTAGATTTATAAATGTCGTTCTTTCATCTGCAGGTTATGGCTAAGATGGGAATAAGTACCTTGCAATCATACAAGAGTGCGCAAATTTTTGAAGCTGTAGGTTTAGGGCAGGAAGTCATTGATAGATGTTTTAAGGGAACACAAAGCAGAATTGGCGGAGTGAACTTTGAAGTTCTTGGACAAGATGGTTTCTTCCGTCACCAAATAGTAAGATTGAACAACTCATAAATATTAAACTAGAAACAATTACTTAAATATAATTATTAACAAATTAATATAAACTTCGTGTAGTAATCTTTTAACTTTTAAAATTTGATTTGCAGGCATTTGGTATTAGCAGCCCTGATACTTCGATTCTACTTAACCCTGGTAATTTCCATTGGCGAGCTGGTGGGGAAGCACATATCAATGAACCTGCTTCCATTGCAAGTTTGCAAGAGGCAGCAATTAACAAAAACAAAAATGCTTATGAAAACTTCAGAGACTCTACTATGAAATCTGTTAGAGATTGTACATTAAGAGGTCAATTGGAGTTGGTTAAAAGTGATAGTCCAGTTCCTTTGGAAGAGGTAGAACCAGCAAGTGAAATAGTGAAGAGGTAAATGATGCACTTATAGTTAATGCCATTACACAGTTGATCAATTGATATAAGAGAATTGTTCTTAGATTTGCTACCGGTGCGATGAGTTTTGGTAGCATCAGCATTGAGGCACATAGCTCATTGGCCATAGCTATGAATAGCATTGGAGGAAAGAGCAATACGGGAGAAGGTGGTGAAAATGCTGATAGATACTTGAGTAGGTTTACAGTGTCACATAATATTTTTAACATATTTCAATATTTCACATACAAAATTAATGTGGGATATGAAATACAATATTTTCTATTTGAATTTAATTTCATTCATATTTCAGATCAACCTCATGGCGCTAACAAGCGGTCAGCTATCAAACAAGTTGCTTCTGGTAGATTTGGGGTCACCGCTAGCTACTTGGCGCATGCCGATGATTTACAAATTAAGATGGCGCAAGGTGCTAAACCAGGAGAAGGTGGTGAACTGCCAGGTAATATTTCGTTTTTTGGTATATTTATAATATGAATCAAATTTTAATTTAATATATTTTGATATAGGCTACAAAGTCACAGCCGATATTGCAAAAACTAGGCATTCCGTTGCTGGTGTTGGATTAATTTCGCCGCCACCCCATCATGATATCTATTCTATTGAAGATTTGGCCGAATTGATTTACGATTTAAAATGTGCAAATCCTAAAGCTCGTATTTCAGTTAAATTGGTTTCTGAAGTTGGTGTTGGAGTCGTAGCTTCTGGTGTTGCAAAGGTAATTATTTATTAAAAGCAGTTAGAAGATATTTCAAACACATTTAATAACATTATTATTTTAGGGTAAAGCAGAACATATTGTAATATCAGGTCATGATGGTGGCACCGGCGCCAGTTCATGGACAGGTATTAAATCAGCAGGCCTACCATGGGAACTTGGAATCGCGGAGACGCATCAAGTATTGGTACTAAATAATTTACGATCAAGGTATATTGACTTAAAATAAAATCTTAAAATTAAAGTATTTTTTAAAAGATAATATTTTCTTAGAGTTGTTGTCCAAGCAGATGGTCAGTTGAGGACCGCTTTTGATGTTGTTGTTGCTGCCTTGCTCGGAGCCGATGAATTCGGATTCAGTACAGCTCCACTTATAGTGATGGGTAAAAATATATATGTAATAATTATTTTAATCTTATTTTCATTATTAATAATTATTTTAATTCCATTTTGTTTAGGTTGCACCATGATGCGCAAATGCCATCTGAACACATGCCCTGTTGGTATAGCAACTCAAGATCCAGTACTACGAGCTAAGTTTGCTGGAAAACCTGAACATGTTGTCAATTATTTGTTTATGTTAGCAGAAGAGGTACGATATAAAAATGATTATATAGTATAATTAAAGAATTTTGCATAGTACTAGCTTGTTCATAATATGTTATGTTTTGTTTTTTAGATTCGTACAGTAATGGCCAGTTTAGGAATTCGTAAATTCCAAGATCTTGTTGGCAGAACTGATTTGTTACGACCAATGAAAGCCAATAACAATTATAAAGCTTCATTGTTGAATTTAGATCTCTTACTGAAGAATGCTTTGGAAATGAGGCCTGGAGTACAAATTGTTGGTGGATCCAAAGTACAGGTGCAGTTGAATAACTAGTATTATTCAGACATAAGATTCCAAACTCACAATTAGTTTTGTTACTTCTATTTAACACTTAATGAACGGGTCAAATCTGTTCTATTTGCGTCTAGTTTTTTTAAGGGGTTAGGGGTACTTAGAATTTGTAAAAAATCAATTTTTATTTTTTTGCATTTACTTCAAGAGTAATATCTTGAAAATTCTCAGAAAATTTCAAGTTGATCCAATAATTAATTTGAGTTATTCAATTTTTACCAGCGCGCTGAAGTAAGTGGAGAGCTTGATACTCATACTCAATATTATTCTCTCATTCCTCCTGATGTTTTAAAAGCTATTGAACCGATTTACGATGATCTCAGTAATGATAATTTACTTTCAAGATTTCTAGCTGGACTCGATCAGAATAATAATGAGTCAAGAGCTTCAACTACCTAGTGTGGAAAATATGCCCAAAACTAACTTTTTATCTATAAATATAGATAGATACTTTATTCAAATTCAATATTTACAATTTAAGTAAATACAATTATTATTTTTATCACAATACTATAATCTAATTAAAATAATATCTGTTATGTTTATGAACAACTCTATGATTAACCTAATGACAATTATAAATATATATATATATATATATATATATATATAATATATATATGTTTCAACGTCGAAAAAACTATCTATATATATATATATATATATATATATATATATATATATATATATATATATATATATAGATTTTTTTTACTTCAAGTCAAAACATTGTTTAAAATGCCATATTACTATTTTTTTCATTTTTTTGTGCCTCTTAGTACCCCTAACCCCTTGAATTATTAAGAAAAAATAGAAAAACTTAACAAAATAACTTTATTAAATGAATTACATTTACGGTTTTATAATCATTTTTATTAAACCTTTTAGTATTATTTAAGTGTGTAAACATCCACCTTCATGATCATGTAAATGTTAAGTGTTAATAAAATTCAATGCCCATAAATTAAAATTCGATATTTATTATTATTATAGATTAAGTGTGGTTCAATTTCATTAATATTTGTTTATTGTATCATAGGACTTCCAATTAGAAAAGAGATTAGATAACAAGTTAATTGAGCAAGCTCAAAGTGTAATCAGTGGTGAACAGAAGCATATAGAAATCACCATGATTATAAACAATGAATGCAGAGCGTTTGGTTCTACTTTAAGCTATGAAATTGCTTGGTAGGGAAATTATTGTTTGCATTGCAATTATATATTGATTTTCTCTAATCTTAATTATATTAATTTATTTTGTGATTTTGTAGCTTGTATGGCGAAGAAGGTTTACCTGCTGATAGATCCATTGATATTAAGCTTCAAGGATCTGCTGGTCAAAGTTTCTGTGCATTTTTAGTTACTGGTGTGAAATGTACCCTGGAGGGTGATGCTAATGACTATGTTGGTATGTCAAGAAAATTTATTATATTATGCTAATAGTATATTAAATTAAATATATTAAGCCTGTTTTATGTAATTTATTTTTATTTTGTGCTTGCAGGTAAAGGTCTATCTGGTGGTACTATTGTGATTTATCCTCCCATCAAATCTTCATTTGAATCACATTTAAATGTAATTGTTGGTAATGTTTGTTTATATGGGGCAACTAAAGGCAAGGCTTTGTTTAGAGGAATTGCTGCTGAAAGATTTTGTGTTCGTAATTCTGGAGTTACAGCTGTTGTAGAGGTTTATTTCTATTTTAATACATAATGCCCTTAATGTACTTTAATTTAAAATTTTCTTATGTTTTTTTCTTTATAGGGTGTGGGTGACCACGGTTGTGAGTATATGACTGGAGGTACAGTTGTTATTTTGGGACTAACAGGAAGAAACTTTGCTGCTGGAATGTCTGGTACATTCAATATAATTTACAATTGTTGAACATCTTTCAATAAGTATGTTTTATGTATGTTTAGGTGGTATTGCTTACGTATTGGATGTGGATGGTTTATTTCCTGGCAAAGTTAATAAAGAGATGGTTGAATTATTACCTCTTGAACTTGATGATGACAAAGTTCTTTTACAAAATTTGTTGAAAGAATTTATTGAAGCTACAGGGTATATAATTATATGACCATTCTGCACTAGTTACTGTCTTATGATACATAATTTTAATTATAATTATAGATCATCAATTGCGCAATATGTTTTGGATAATTGGGATGTGGAATCTAAAAAATTTGTTAAAGTATTTCCTTATGAATATCAGAAAGTACTAAAACAGATGGCAGCTACATCTAATATTGTAGAAAAAGCAAATGGCCTTAATGGTACCTCTAACGGAAATGGAACTGTGGTAAGGTTTACCATTATGTCATACTTCAGTTTCGCACTTCTTTAATAAATTTCATACAATTTCAGTCGATTAAAAATAAATGTGAACCAAAAGTTATGGATATTGAAGAAACTATAGCTGATGAAGAACTACAAGGCAAAAAATTGGAGCAAATTTTAGATAAAACACGGTGAATATTAAAACGCTTCTTAAAATTTTGTTTTTATTCTTATTATTTTGAATGCAAATTTTTTTACAGTGGTTTTATAAAATATAAACGAGAATCTAAAATGTACCGCGATGCAAGTGAGAGACAACAAGATTATACAGAAGTATACAATTTTAAGCATGTACGGAAAGGTCTTAAAAAGCAGGCAGCAAGGTATTTGAGCATCCTGCAGCATTAATATATTTGTGTTTATTTAAACACTTATCAATTGCTGTAATAATTATCAATTAGTTATATTTTATAGAATATTCTTTCAATTGTAGGTGTATGGAATGTGGAGTTCCATTCTGTCAGTCTAGTCATGGATGTCCACTCGGAAATATTATTCCGAAGTGGAATGATTTAGTGTTCCAAGATAATTGGAAAGAAGCTTTAAATCAACTGCTACAAACAAATAACTTTCCGGGTAAGATTTATTATATATAATGATATTTTATATTTTATTATAAATATATAATATATATAAGTAATATATTATTATAAATTTTTTATTATATTTAAATGATACTTGTATGTATAGAATTTACTGGTCGTGTATGTCCGGCACCTTGTGAAGGAGCATGTGTTTTAGGAATATCGGAACCTCCAGTTACCATTAAGAACATTGAATGCGCAATTATTGATCATGCTTTTGAAAATGGTTGGATCAAACCACAAGTATGTAATATAAATATTTAATTATAGTATATATTTTAATTAGTATTATCCAAATATCAGCTAACATTTTGAAATCAATATTTAACATTTTTTAATTACTATCCTGTTTGTAGATTCCGTTATACCGTACAGGTAAGAAAGTGGCCATAATTGGAAGTGGACCATCCGGTCTTGCAGCTGCAGCACAACTAAACAAAGCAGGACATTATGTAACTGTTTTTGAAAGGAATGACCGCATAGGAGGCTTATTACAATATGGCATTCCAACTATGAAATTAAGTAAAGCTGTTGTGCAGAGGCGAATTGATCTTATGGCTGAAGAAGGAATTGTTTTCAAAACTAATGTTAATGTGGGGAAAACATTGCCTATTACAGATGTTATAAATGAGTGAGTTTCTTTAATTAAAGATAGTAGATAAATATACATTTAATTTTTTTTACAGCAAATATAAAATATTTTAGATTTGACGCGGTTGTTTTAACGACTGGCGCTACCTGGCCTAGAGACTTGCCATTGAAAAACCGAGACCTGAAGGGAATACATTTTGCAATGGAATTTTTAGAATCAGGTCAAAAACGACTTATTAATCCCCAGGTTAATAACATCAGTGCTAAAGGCAAAAATGTCATCATTATTGGTAGGTTTTAACTTGATTTTCAAATATCTGGTTCCTGCAAATGAAAGTTACCTCATTTCATTTCGTACATAATACTTGGAAATAATATCTATATTTTGCTAATATTCTTAAAATGTTAAAATACACAGAATCAAATTTTGTGTGACTGAAATTGAACATTTTTGTTTTAGGGGGAGGTGATACAGGCTGCGATTGCATTGCTACTTCGCTTCGCCAAGATGCTGCAAGTATTGTAACATTCGAAATTTTACCTGAACCACCTGCTGGTCGTGCTTCAGATAATCCATGGCCCCAATGGCCTAAAGTCTTCCGTGTTGATTATGGCCATGAGGAAGTTAAAGTTAAATTTGGAAATGATCCAAGGCAGTATAATACTTTGACGAAAGAATTTATTGATGATGGTGGGTTTTGATGGATAAGAGATATCTTGTATTAATCCAATTGAATTGGGATTGAAGTTTGTAAAATAAATTTACGAACTAAGCTTACATTCAATGCTATTCATAACTGTTTGTTTAATTTTTTATAACAAATGCATTTAAAATATTTTCTCTGGGTTTTTGCTTAGGTAATGGAAATATTACTGCTGTGCGAAGTGTGAATGTAGAGTGGACACGTAATGAAAATGGTCAATGGAAAATGAATGAAATATCTGGCTCTGAAAAATTACACAAAGCTGATCTTGTGCTTCTGGCAATGGGATTTTTGGGTCCTGAGAAGTACATTGCCAATGAGATATGTAAGTAATTGTAATCTCAACTAAATATGTTTACTCATAATTTCTGATTTTTATGTTTTTTTTTATAATGCCTTTATGTGAATTAAGTGAAGTGGCTATTCCAGAATCTGATCTAATTTGAATCAATCCAAATGCTATGTTCATTATCGTTTTATTGTTAGTTATTTTATTTGAGTAGTAATTCACATGTTACATGCATATGCTAAGGGTTTTACGGAAACTATGAAAATCTTCATTTTATTATCATTAATTGTAAAAATGATTTCTAATTATACAGCCCTACCTCTGGATAATCGGGGCAATGTCGCCACTGTGAATGGTATTTACGGAACTTCGATGGAAAAAGTATTTGCGGCTGGGGGTACGTTTTATAAATAGGTTTTTTAATATTCTTGATCACGATCTATAAAATTAATTTTTAGATTGTAGACGAGGTCAGTCTTTGGTCGTTTGGGCTATAACTGAAGGCAGACAGGCCGCTAAACAAGTCGACGCTTATTTAAACGGAAAGCCTAGCTCGCTACCGGGATTGGGTGGCGTAGTACACCCTTGTCCACAAGGCTAAACTTATTCCTACATAGAACTAATGGAATTTTTTCGTGTTCTTTTTCAGTAATAACGACGGATCTTTACACATTGTTTTCTTGGATAATATAAATACCTTGGATAATTGTTTTCCATAAAATAAACGGTCTTTAATGCTGCTGTGATCCAGTATAAAAGATATAGTGAAATTGCATAACGGGCATATTAATTTTCCAGTAGTAGACTTTTGCAAGCGTGCGCAGCTACACGTTGTTGCAATTTAATCTGTTTGTGATATATTGTGATATTTTATTGACTGTGTACTTCAAGTATCTGTTGAAATTTATAAATATCATCATTTACAAATACCAACACTGTAAGAGCTGCTAAAAATATTTTTAAAACTCGTTCATAATTTCGTTCGAGCGCGCATTGAAAAAGTCGTACAGTGATAATAAATATGTGAATAAGGTTTAAAAAAATTATATTATTTGAAGCCAAGTTGGGCTAATAAACATATTTCACTGGTATGAGCAAAATTACAATTTGTTGGATAAATTTCTCTCCACTGAGATATATATTGAAAAAAAAAATCTGTGATGTACTTACATACCAGTACAACGTTTAATATTAATTTTGATATTTTAAAATGAATCCCATAGTACAATGAGTATTTTCAGTATAGTTTCTTAGTTTAGATCAAATACCACATTCTTAATAGTTATGTTGTCTATGGAGTTCATGTAAATTAATTTTTATTGTTATATATTTTGTTGCCCGTTCTGAAACTGGCTTGGCTAGAAAATTAGTTTTAATATATTTTATATAAATGATTATAAATGTAGACTGATAATTGTGAGTAGTTTTTCAAACATTGGATGTTGAATCAAATGGTTATAATTAAAACTCATGTTCCATTATGAAATATATTTTATGAACATTACCAAAAGTTTTAATTTTTTATTTTTATACTGTAATTATTTTATGCTACTTTCTGGCATCAGGGTTGGATTACGGTCTAGGGCGTCAAATTTTTCAGTGTCTAAATTTTGAACCCTATAAAATGACACGACAATTTATTTTAAGGTTTGATCCTGATTTTTTCCTTAGAATATTATAGATTATTTTCTGTGAAATATAACGTAATTCATTTTCTAATAAACCTTATTATTCGTGGGTGCGACATTAATATTTTATTGTTGTGTAATGTTAAAAAAGAAAATCAAATTCATTATAATTTTTTTTGCAGAAATATTAAAGTTCTGTTGACTTAAAATTTTGAACAATAGCGAATCAATATATGTAAATTCTTATTTAGTTTTTATTTAAATTTTATTCTTTAATGATATTTTTTCTTCAAAATGATTCATATAGGATAAAACAAGAAGCTTGGAAAATTTAAAAGCGCACGTCTCACATGGGTAGTAAATAACAATAAAATCTAAATTTTGAAGCGAGACCAAAATTAGAAAAAGTATGCGTGTTTGTATGAGTCAAAATTTGACCTTTCGTCGAGGTTTTTTCGGAAACGGTCGCGGAAATCCTAATCCACCACTCTCTGCTTGTACGGGGGACCTCTAAAGGGAAGTCCTAGGGGGTGAACCATGGCCATGGGTAGATCGGCCTTCCAAAGTTACTAGGGGTCGGTCATACATTTTGACATTATTGAGGCGCTCTAAATGAGCCAAAACAGGGTTTTTTAAAATTTGACCCAATCTTTGGGTGAATGCACGAGACATCATTCATTTTAGATATGATTTCTTCGGCAAAGTGTCTTATTTTGATCCCTTAGGGGGCGTCCATTAATCACGTGAGCTAGTTTTTAAGGATTTTTGGACCCCCCCTCCCCCTTGGTGATACTTGGTGATATTCGAAATTAACCCCCCCTCCCCCACCAAACATCACGTGTATTTTTAGATACGTGAAAAAACTAAAATTTTTGATACTTTTTTTTAAATGTTTGAATTTTTTTTTTAAAAAATCAGTTAATAAATAAATACACGTGATATCTTACCATACCCCCCCTCCCCCACGTGATGTTTCGTGATTTTTTGTCAAACCCCCCCTCCCCCTAAAAACCTCACGTGATTAATGGACGCCCCCTTATACGAAAATCATATGTGCCTATGTGATTTTTTTTTTACCCATACAAATCGAACCGCCCTAATATTCATATAATCAAATGTTCTCGGGCATCAATCTTACGACGAAAATTTAAAAAAAAATTTCAAAAAAAAAAATTTAAACTGCGTATTTAATGAAGTCATCCAGTTTTATTAGTCTTTGTCCTTCATTAAAATTGTCTTATTATGGACGGATGCGTGAAAATGTAAATATATATATATATATATATATATATATATATATATATATATATATATACACCTAAGTCTGTTTTTACACGGTAGATTGGTTCCAGAAGAAGCCGTGTAAAAAAAAACGTAAAAAAAGACATTGATCTTATACAAAAATGGGTGATTTATTCCTAATCTCTAAAACCTATTAAAATTAGTGAAAAACAAGAATTTTTAAGAACAAGAATTCATGTTTTTTTATTAAATCAAATATATAATTCTGATACTATCGATGGTTTCAGACTTTTTTCTTTCATAAATACTTTTTTGTGATATGAACATACTTCGCAAAAATTAAATTTGACAAAAAAAATTAAGTACATAAAATTTCAAATCGCGCTAAATGGAATAAAATCGTGTAAAAAAATTAAAAATATTCAATTTTCAAACCGTGTTATATCAAAACCGTGTACAAAAAGACCGTGTAAAAACAGACTTAGCTGTATATATATATATATATATATATATATATATATATATATATATATATATATATATAGTGGTGTTGTCGAGCCGGAAGCCCGGAACGCGCCGGAACATCGTTCCGGCAAATTTTTTTTAAAAAAAAATCGTTACATACAGAAAATGATTTAATAAGTGAATTTTATAGATGATAGTTCAACTAATTTTTATTAAATGTTCCTATTATTAGCACTACACCGCTGTATATAACCCCCCCCCCCTCCTATTAATTTAACTGTTTTAACAATTTATCATCAAAATTGTATAAACTTTTACGTTATTTTTTTAAATACTTCTTATTAATAGATTTAGTACACATAAAATTAGATATAATTATTTAGAGGGCATAAAATACAATGATTTTAAATTTATTTAGAAGATCGAGGCGGGTTGCTCATAATCAAATTGTCGTGTCTTCTTTTGTTGAACCGAACTATTCTTAAATTCTTATTTTCTATCCAAACTTTTAAAATTTCAGTAAGTTCATCATTGTTTCCAAAATATTTTTAAATTTTCAATTGTTTCTAATGCATGTGTAATATTGAGATTTTGGTTTTGAAACATTTTACTTATTTATTTTATGCAATTTATTCTATTGAGAAAATCATGTCAAGAGAGCAAAAAAAAATTCTAACCTTTCAGTATTAAACATAATAGTACGGGAGCCAGCAACGTTTTCGAGCAAGCATTTTAGTCAGGCTGGTTTTTTGGTATGTGGTCCTTGGTGCTCTCTCGGTTAGGGTACGGGCCGTCTGGCAGCTGGAAGTGGTTGCGTTAATTAGTGCGCAGCCAATTTGTACAGCGCGATTTCAAAATTTTGAAAGCATTTTAGTCAGCCCAATTTTCGTTTTTTTGACTTCGAATAGGTTCACCAGACTCAAATTTTTTGTTGCCAGACATTTTGGGCGCTGCTAAATATGTGCCAGACGCCAATTTATTTATTAATTTTTTTAAAAATTCAAATCATTTTAGTCCGTCTGAAATTTTAGTATTATGTTCGTTAAGGGTCAAAACACGTAAAATTAATTTGCCAGACGTTTCTGCGGTTGTTAACCATGTCTGGCAAGCAAAAATGTTTGGCAATATGATACTAGTTTATAGCATTTGTCAGTCCAATTTTCATTTTTTGACTTGATATTTGATTTGATAACTTGAATAAGTTATCCAGATTCACATTTTTTTGTTGCCAGACATTTTGGGCGCAGCCAAATATGTGCAAGACGCCAATTTATTCATTAATTTTTTTTAAATTTCAAATCATTTTAGTCCGTCTGTAATTTTAATATTATGTTAATTAAGGGTCAAGAAACATAAAATTAATTTGCCAGACGTTTCTGCGGTTGTTAAGAATGTTTGGCAACAAAAAAAAGTCTGGCAATATGATACTAGTAGACAGAGTGAGACAATCGCTAAATACATTGGCGCGAATGAAACAAAAAAACTATTTTACTCGTAAGAGCGCTATACGTTACTAGGCAGAAAAACCATAGGAAAAATCAAGTAACTACATTAGACAGATGTGTTTGTTATAAACTTCTCTGCAAATTGTATTTATACCATTTTTCTTTAGAATCACCGTTTCTTATAAATTGCCATCTGGAAAGTTAAAAAATTCATATTTCTCATAATATGCAGCCTTTATAAATACATCATCGAAGGTGAATTATGAGTGAAAAATAAAAATCCAATGATTTGTTTTGGATAGATGAGTTTAACGAGTCTTTTGATATATCACATTGTAGTATTATTGTCCCAGTGTGGGAGGTTCGCATACCTGATTGTTTTGAAGGAATTAATCGAAATAATTATGTATAAATGAATGCGAGGCGTGTTATAACATCCAAAGTGCTTAAACAGTTATCATATTAAGCCATAAGACGAATAAATCTGTATAATAGACGTTTTTATTCGTTGTTAAAAAAAACGATATTCCCAATTATAATCTTGATTTAAGAGACCTAGGTCGAATGACTATCATTATATAGTGATACATATTGATCTAAAATGAACCCATTGAATTTTGAATTATTAAATACACTTCGATTTTTTAAAAAACAGTGCTCAATTACAGCTAAAATCTGAAAGAAAAAAGGGCGGAGAATGTTTGCTGTACAATATATATTGTATATATTATATATATACTAGAATTTTAAGAGATTCTATTCTAGGGTAGCTCGAACTGGTAAGGTAGCAAAACTAGTATTATCAGTATTAAGTATAGGTATGTGTTACAATTAGTTGCTGCTAAAGCCATGTAATATGTACATGTACCAATAATATTACATGTATCATGTAAAATGAAGTCATTCGACTCAGTTAACTTAGTGATAAAAAAAAATTGCGTACAGCAAAATGATTATTGTCAGTTCTCATTGCAAAACTTAAAATATATGATATTCTTAGGAAATTGACGATGTTAAGCACTGTCGAGTCAAATTTTTCAAAATATTAACAGCAATATTTTAGAATCATTAACATATTTTTTACAGCTAGTAAAATTAAAAAATTGACTAATATGATGCAATTTCTTTGTCTTTTCTAATTAGGTCTTTATTTAACTTTATTTTATTTGTTTTATGAAAATGTTATTGAAATTGCACTAACTTTAAATAGCGCTCTTACGAGTATAATAGTTTTTTTGTTTCATTCGCGCCAATGTATTTAGCGATTGTCTCACTCTGTCTACTAGTATCATATTGCCAGACTTTTTTCGTTGCCAGGCATGCTTAACAACCGCAGAAACGTCTGGCAAATTAATTTTATGTTTTTTGATCCTTAATGAACATAATATTAAAATTACAGACGGACTAAAATGATTTAAAATTTAAAAAAAAATAATGAATAAATTGGCGTCTGGCACATATTTGGCAGCGCCCAAATGTCTGGCA